CAAGATCTGTCTCGGTATGAGGATAGGCAATCAGATCAATTTCTTTGCGATCAACAGGGAGGAAAACTCATTATACTCACTGATCGCTGACGGCCAGTACCGCAACACGTCATCAGGTCGTACCACGTGGAAGTCACTGATTGGTTCTCAGGCTTCCCTACAACATAACTGCAACAAGGAAGGGTTCAATGCTATATGTAGTTCCCAGAGTGCCTCAAAGGCAAGAATTGGTATCGTTGCCAATAATCAGGGCTCGTGCTCTTCTTGTGACTCTAGAATTGGCTTTGGTACAGGAGGTTCTCATGACGACACAAACACATGTGGTAACCAAGCAACGCACTCGGCCGATAATGGAGACAAACACATTAAGGCAATGGGGTATATCTTGGTGCAATGACAAGGAAAGCAATGAATTGTTAATTGATTGGCGTTGATGAACGTATAATGTAAGCTGGAAATATTTTGATTCTTTTATACTTAGTTATACTGGGGTAGGGTTTCGAAAGCGAAAGTCACTTGGGTAGTTGAATGGATATAGGGTGTTTAGAATCCTTATTCCACCAACGGAACACATTTGCTGCTCGTTGTCTTCTAGCCTCGCAGGAAAATGGAGAAGAAATGTTAATAAACTTTTTATTATTACTTATTATAAATATTATCATAATTTCTTTTTATTTCATTATTTTTTTTGTTGTTGTTTTTTTCTCTTGTTTGTTTGTGGAATCGTTAATAAAGTTGTTTTCAGAAACGACGCCCTGATCGGAAGGGCGAGTTAACCTGTACATGAACGAATAATATAGAAAATAACAGATCCTCACAGAAAAACATTTATACGAGGCTAAATAACTGAGTAAGCTCCAATAAATAAGCCCTGTCCCCACGTAACCCGAGATTTTTTACTCCGCACCTTTTTTGTTGCGGTTTGGCCTTCCAGTGAATATATATGGTTGATAAATCAGGAACTTTTTGAAAACCCCTCCCAGAGAGGATTTTTTTGAATCGGCATTGATAATCGCTGACGTAGCGATATCGGGTTCAGACGTCTTTTTTGGCGCGGACAATCCTTCCCAATGGACGAAGCATCTTCTAGCAAAGGATTCTGCTTAAGAAATAGGGTCAAAATATTAGAGTACATGATTCTTAGTCAACATTTTCGTTGCTATTGGCCGCTTTGTACTCCACAGTTATTATAGTAGGGACTTGACTTCATCATCTAAATAGAGGACCCTAAAATCAACATTTATACATCAAGTTGTCAATTATGAGTCATGACAAGAATAGCGTTTTTTTTTTTTTTTCCGTTTTTCATAACACTCCTTTTCCATGGAATCCGTCTTATTAGTTATTTTCCAGTAGTCATAAGTCAAAATGGCTCAAAGTTTTAGCCCGTGTTACCGGATAGTTTACCAATTTCTCAAATTATTTTGCTCAGTAAAGATGTTATTTTACTTGTTTGCATTGCCTTAAAAGTTGTATTAAACTCGGGTCATAAGCAGGTCTTCGAAGAATCGAGAAAAGAATATCCTTATAAGCATTGAAGGAAATTAAATTAAAAAAAAAAATCAAAATGAGGTTCTTGTTAGATTCATCAGTCTTGAATTTGTAAGGATTGCCCTTACTTGCGCGCGAAAAATAACTTTCCTTCCGTGGTAAATATCCGGTGCATTGTTTTTCAAACATACTAAGGATTAATCCCATCTAGAGAAAACATTCTCCATGCAGATGGACGTAGTTTTCC